ACCGCTAGACCCCGCTGCCCTTCAACAGCGAGGGGGTGGGGAGCAAGAGTCCGGAGGGGGAGCTATTATGAAAGGCACTGACGGGCAGGACAAGGGGGGGTGTCTCCCCTGGGTTCTGGGAGGGGAGTGCGGGCTAGTGGTGAGATCACAGTGCCGCCCTCCCCCTCCCACTCTGCCCCTCCTCTGTGCTGCTTGGAAACCTTCTGCAGTCCAGGGGCCTGTGCTGAGTCGGGCAGGACAAGGGGGGGTGTCTCCCCTGGGTTCTGGGAGGGGAGTGCGGGCTAGTGGTGAGATCACAGTGCCGCCCTCCCCCTCCCACTCTGCCCCTCCTCTGTGCTGCTTGGAAACCTTCTGCAGTCCAGGGGCCTGTGCTGAGTCAGGATCCCAAACCGGTTTATCTGGCTGGGCTGGTCTGCAGCCCAGTAACAACCCCCCCAATGTGCCCTTGGGCGGTGTCTCCACACCATGACCCCCCCTCCCGCAGACCTCCCAGCCAGCCCTGAAGAGAGAGCCTAGGTCCCTGGGAGGAGGTAGATAGTCTCCCCTATAATGGCAGGGGAAACTGAGGCACACCTTGGGGGGGAGGGGGCGCCAGTCGGATGGGGTCAGCTGACAAGTCAGGACAGAGTTGAGGGGAGGACCCAGAATTCCCAGCACCCAGCCCAGCCTGCTCTAACCGCTAGACTCTACTGCCCTCCCAGAGCTGGGGAGAGACCCCAGGAGTTCTGGCTTCGACCCTGGCCTATTCTAACCACTAGACTCTACTGCCCTCCCAGAGCTGGGGAGAGACCCCAGGAGTTCTGGCTTCGACCCTGGCCTGCTCTAACCACTAGACCCTACTCCTTCCCCAGAGCCAAGGAGAGAGCCCAGGAGTCCTGGCTCCCAGCCTGGTCTGCTCTAACCACTGAACCCCACTGCCCCTTTCCAGGGAGCAGGTTCAGAGGGTAACAATTCCAGCCTGCACCCCCAGGCCGGTGCATTGACTCTGACCCCAGCTCTCCCTGCTGCCCAATTCCCAGCTGGGTACCCTCTGCTCTATTTTCAGTCTCGGCCTGGTTATACTTAGCCGGGAGCTGTGCTAGGAACAGGTGCTGGGGCTCGCCAGAGGCGGGAGCCCACCGGGGGTAGGTTTCCACAGAGGGTGGGACAGGGTAGGGGGGGTTGGACAGTCCTGGGAATGTGCCCCCAGCACTAGACCAAACTGGGGCGATTCAATACCCACCGTGGGACTCAGGAGTCCTGCCTGCCCTCCCCTATTTGACTCCACGTCCCCTTCCAAAAGCTCCTGGAGTGCTGTTTCCCAGCACTAACCACTAGACCTCACTCTCCTCCCAGTGCTGGGGTAGAACCCAGGAGTCTTGGTTCACCTCCGGCCTCAGGAGAGCCAGGGCACAGGAGGGGGGGTCTGGGATATGGGGCAGGATGGAGGGACAGACACCGCTGGGACAGACGGCCAGACCTCAGACAGAGGCATAGACACAGTGCAGACGGATGGGGCTGGGAGGAGGGACGGGTGGACACCAAGAGGTCAGACGCAGGAGCTGGCTGGACAGACGGATGCACCAGGGCCGGAGGGATCGGGCGGGAAGATGAGGGCCGGTTGTATCAGCGGAAAGCACCTGGCCGGACTTGTTCCCCAGCAATGCGGCCAGATCGGCCCCTCCCCAGCCCCCGGGGCAAATGCCGGGCAGGCTAGAGGGAGGACGGGACAATACAAGGTGTATTGTAAGGGGTGTGGCTATGGGTGCATTTAGCTAGAGACCCTAAGGGGATGTCTACACTGCAGCACTATTTCCAATTAACTTCATTTGAAATAGTTAATTCGAATTAAGCTCATTTGAAATAACGCATCTAGACACAAAAAATATTTCGAGATAGCGCGTCCACACGGTCCACATGGAGCGGGCCCTGAACCGAGGTTAAGGCTGGCCGGAGCCAGCGCCGGCAGGGCATCCAGTTGGGACTTAGTGTGTGGGGCTGCTGCCTGAGGCTAACTGAGCTCCGTGCTTAAAGGGATCCGACCCCCACCCCGGACAGACAGTTCTCAGGGTTCCCCGCTTGCTTGTCTACCTCGATGAGGCCCCGCATTGAACCACCAGACCCCACTCCACCCACCACCACATTCAAAGAACCTGGTTCCAAGCACGGAGTTATGCTTTCCAGCCGGGCCTGCTCTCACCACTAGTCCACACTCCCCTCCCCATGATATCCTGGTTCTCAGAACTCCCCGTTTTAACCATTACACCCCCCTGCCCTCCCAAAAGCAGAGTGTAACCGAGCAGCCTTGGTAACAATCCGCTCTTGCTCTAACCACTTGCCTGCACTCTCCTCCCTCAGCCATGGTAGAAATCAGGAGTCCTGGTTCACAGATGCCAGGAAGGCACGGACGAGCCTTGGTTTCCGGCTCCTTCTTTGGTCTAACCACTACCCCCAACTGCCTTTTCAGAGCTAGGAGAGACCCCAGGATTCCCGGCTCCCCCTTTAACCACTGAACCCCACTTCCCTTCCAGAACCAGGCTGAAACCAAGGAGGCTTGATTCCCAGTTCCTCCTTCTGTAACCACTAGTCCTGCTTGCTCTGAGCACTGACCACCCTCTCCTCCCAGAGTAAAGGAACTTGCTCCTCGGGGCTCTGTCTTTCGGACAAACCCCGTCTCCCCCCCTGCCCGCATGGCAGGACCCAGAACCATCTAGACCAATGGTTCCCAAACTTTTTGGCATCACGCTCCCCTTTTTGATTTTTGTGATCCCCTCACGCCCCTTCCAAATAGCAGCAAAACTTGGGGTGGAGTTGATGGGGGTGTGTGGCTGGGTTGCCTCATGTCCCCCCCAGGAATTTCTTCACCTCCCCGCTGGGGGCACGCCCCCCAGTTTGGGAACCCATGCTTTAGCGCCAAAGAGCCTCGAGAAACGGACAGAACCAGCCTGGGATTCAGATCTGCCCCGGCCACCTCCTGCCCCCTGGATCCTCCCGCTACGGAGAGCGCCCGGCCCCGTACTCACTCAGCACCCGCAGGCTGGGCCCCCCGCCCCACCTCTGCTCTCCACCGGTATAACGGTGAAATAGACGAAGTCGTCTCGGGCTTGGACCTGGCGGATAGTGAGCGGCAAAGTTTTGTTTGCAGCATCTCAGGAGGGTTCGAATCGCTCCGGAGTCCCTGGTGCTCTGTAGATTTTTTTGTCCTTAGTGATACGCAGCACCCCCTCCACGCAGCACCCCCTCCGGCTTCTGTCCCGGGCTCTGCCGGATGCACTGTGCAGTGACCGTGTCCGCCCCGACCTTGGCCACGGCGCACTCCAGCGTGGCCGTCTCTCCAGGAGACACCGAGTTCTCCGAGGGGCTCTCGCTGAAGGAGGCGACTTGCCCCCGGGCGTCTGTCGGAGACACATAAGGGCAGGGTGGTCCCTTACGCCAGGGGAATAGAGCGACGGAGAGCCAGCCAGCCGGGCACCCCAGGGGGAAGGGGGAACGCAGGGGAGGGACCCCAGAGATGGCTGGGGGGAGAGACGCTGAGGATGGAGGGACAGAGAGAAGGAGAGTCCCTGGGCGTGGGAGAGGAAGGACACAGGGACGGGGAGGAGGCAGGAGAGACGCAGAGAGGGAGGGAAATCCAGCGAGCGCTGGGCCAGCCAGGCCCTGGAGCGGACGCATGGCCGACCTTCACGCTGTCCCTCGTGCCGAGCTGAGACGGGCCAGGGGTTCGGTGCCTCTTATGAGGCCGCGTATGCAAATCCAGCTGGGGCTGGGCTGAGATGGACGCCCGGCAGAGGAGGGGTGACAGGCCCCCGGGGGGACCCTGGGCTGAGGGCCGGGGGCTGAAGAGATACTGGAGGGGCAGGCCTGGGTGCTGGAGGCAGAGAAGGGGAGTCCTGGGACATTGGCCCTAGGGGGAAAGAGAGAGGGGGCACCCGGATGCCTGGGTTCCCTGCCCCGCGCCCAAGAGGAGTCGGGTCTCTGTGCCCGAGAAGGGGCTCTGGGCAGACAAGCCCTCGGGGGCAGGTCCTCTGGTTCCTGTGGGGCCGGCGTCCCCGTGGGGCTGTGGAAACCCCTGGCCCAGCCCCCCACTGAGTTCCCCGGCACCGAGCTTGATTTGGCCGGCTGTGGGGGGAGATGGGCAGGCAGGGAGCCACGGGACTGGGGCTGGAAGGAGCCCTGCCCAGGGGGGGTGGACAGAGGGGAGACAGGACCCCACCTGCTCTGTGGGGCTGCCCCCTGGGGTCAAAGTGGGAGCATTCAGTGGGTCGCAAGATCCTCCTGTCTGTTCCTCACCCGCTTTAGCCTGGCGCTCGGGGTCCGACCTCCATGGGCTGGCACCATTAATAGCTAATCAGTGCAGAACTGATCATTAGTCGGTAATTATTGGCTCCTCGTTAATAATTAATACCTCACAGACAGATGAAATCTGCATGAAATAATCTAACAGTGCTTTTACACATACGTCACTGAGAAGAGACAACTAATATCAAATGACCGATATGTTTTTAATTGACTTATTGCCAAATTATTTCAGTTAATAATGATAATGTTATCACTATTGATCATTCATTAATTCTCTTTCTCTTATACTAAGGACGCATCAAGATTGGGAGATCGATGCATGCTCGGATCTTTCTATCAAGCATTTTTATCGATTATAGGTGTCTTAATGTACTTTAATGAATTACTAAGGTTTATCACTGAATAATTATTGCATCGGAGTTCTGAACAGCTGATGGGATAGATCTGATCTGTCTTTAATGAACTAGCAAGCATTGGTTAAAAGACATAATTAAAAATTATTAATAACTGATCCCAGGAAAAATTTTTTTTAACTGAGATCTGGGTTTGATGATGTTAAGATATGCAGAAATAACCGAACGTTTCGGTCTTCAGTACTACCGTGCGAAAATGGGACAAGTAGATCTCTCTTTGTACCAATCTCTCAGGGAAGAGTTTGATTCTGAGAGGAATAAATATCAGCTCGAAGTTGAGGCAATAATGTTTAGATCTCTTTGCTAACAAGTAGTTTAGAAAAAACAAGATTTGAAAAAAACCCACAGACTTTTTTATTATACATTTTCCTTACTATGTGGTTATTATGAATCCTATTATAATTATTATTAAAATATTTGATCTTTCCTCCCCTCCCCGATTTTACACTACGGAAACATTACAAAATTAACGTGTATGTTGTCTGCATAGCTACATCTCTGTGGTAAGGACGAACATCTAGAGATCTGTATTTTATTAGGTAAAAGTGAAATTTCAGCTTTCTAATTGGAATGTCTTTTTCTTACACCCTTACATATTCGTTATCGGAGCATTTTTTTCGACAGAATACTGAGGCCAATCAGATTTCTATCGACGCAACTGTTCCTCAGATATATTGTGACAATGATTAATAAATGTGCAGTTCATATGTACTTGGGAAGAAACAAAGGAAAATGGCGTAATCTTGGTGGAGACATAAAAGGAGAGGGCAGTTAGGTCACGTCGCTCCATGAATACGTTCCTGTTAACCGTATTTGTTTATAGAAGATCAAATGTGATGATTGAGTGGCGTTGAAAGCAATTCAAATAATAGATTCAACCAATGCGAAGATATTTCGGCCTTGGAAAGGGTTCAGAAAAGGGCAACTAAAATGATTAGGGGTTTGGAACGGGTCCCATATGAGGAGAGGTTAAAGCGACTGGGACTTTTCAGTTTAGAAAAGAGGAGACTGAGGGGGGATATGATAGAGGTCTATAAAATCATGAGTGGTGTGGAGAGGGCCGATAAAGAAAAGTTATTTATTAGTTCCCATAATAGAAGAACTAGAGGACACCAAATGAAATGAATGGGTAGCAGGTTTAAAACTAATAAAAGGAAGTTCTTCTTCACACAGCGTGTTGTCAACCTGTGGAACTCCTTGCCAGAGGAGGCTGTGAAGGCTAGGACTATAATAGAGTTTAAAGAGAAGCTGGATAAATTCATGGAGGTTAGGTCCAGAAAAGGCTATTAGCCAGGGGATAAAATGGGGTCCTTGGCCTCTGTTTGTCAGAGGCTGGAGAGAGATGGCAGGAGACAAATCGCTTGATCATTGTCTTCGGTCCACCCTCTCTGGGGCATCTGGTGCTGGCCACTGTCGGCAGACAGGATACTGGGCTAGATGGACCTTTGGTCTGACCCAGTGCAGCCGTTCTTATGTTCTTATGTTACTATTTTATACGTATTAATCCTTTTATTATTCCAATTTTTTTCCTTTCTTTTTTTTCCTTTTCCTCCTCATTCGCAAAGGCAGAAACTTTAAAAAATGAAGGAGTCAGTTAACTGCATAGAGAAATCTGAGCACTAAATACAAAAACCCAGAGATGGGTGTTTTATTCATCTGAATTGAA